GTATAACCGGCGATTTAGCGCTTGTAGGCCTGCCGGTTGGGCTATAATTCACGTTGCGCTGTCAAAAAATGGGCCTACTATACTGCCAATTACGGGCTAATCCGGAAACTTAGTTTCCTGAGTTTTGTATCATCGTGCCCTGAGTATCTCATATACATATGAAAACGGCCTAAATGTTTTTTTAAATTTTTTGTGCAATTTCAGTACGACTCCCGAAGTTGCAAGTCGTTCCAAATCTCGGCCGAAAGCTACGAACTCTTCACAGTGGCTCAAGAAGGTTTGCAACCGAAAGTACCGGATCCCTGCCAGGATAATACTTGCACGTACTTGTGTGTGGCCAGCAGGAATTCGCAATTCAAGTGCATTTGTGAGGATGGCACTATCGTTCCCGAGAAAAAAGCCTGTGGCGATATTTTGGCAAGTTGCTGACGATAATTTTGCAAAAATCAACAATAGCTCTTAACGCAATTTGCAGGGATTCAAACCGATCAAATTCCACGCGCAGACCGCATCCAATGAAGGGGCGCGCGAAGGAATGTCCAAGATGATGATCGTGATTATTTTGGTCACCATCTACGTGGCCGTTATGGGAATTGTCCTGATCATTTACGGACGCAGGAAACAGCACACTTTCTTCAACTTCCGGTAAATATAAACGAACAGTTTTGTTAATGGGCATTGCCGTAATGGTTTAAAACAGGATGCGTTTCCATAAGTCGCCTTTTCGCAACCAAACCGTCAACTTGGAGAAGCCAATTCTCAATCCCGACCAGCATGAATACGAGAATCCCATGACAGGCGATTCAACGAGCGAAATCTTTGTTATTGATGAACGCAGCGCCCATTCTGCAATTGCTTAGTTTTATGTTACCGTTATGTATTTATGTAATTTTTATGTAGGGTGATATATGGGAATATTCCTGATTGTTTTTAATCGAAACCGTTCAATTTACATACACTCTGTGCATTCAATTGCTTAGTATTAGCAATGTCTTGAAAATTGCTTGAATGCGCCTTTTATAGTCAAGTCAAATGCATTCCAAATGTATGGAAGCAGTTTCAAGGAAAACTTGTACAAAAAAATGTACTTATTAATTTTTTAGCTTGCAATATATTTTTAACCAGTTTCTATCAGAGTGGCACTCAATCCTTGACAGAAATTTTCCTTTCCTCCAGAAAATGCAGTTCCTGTCCAGTTTTCACACTTTCATTCAGAAACTTTACGTTCCATTCAGGAGCGTAGCGTGCTTCGGTTCTCTCTCTCGCACACATGGGGGTCTACAAGTGATGCAGGGTGGCCTGGCGCCGCTACGTTCCAACTTGACACCTCCACCGCTTAAAATATTTGAGTTTTGAACGAGACAAAGTGGCAATTTGTGACTTATCAGCACAGAATTTTCCAATGGGCAACTAAACTGAATTAGAACGTGTTTAAAGGCACGCTAAGAGGTTCGTTAGCATAGACATAACAAAAAGCGATCCTGGGCCGTTTCGCGGACAAGTTCAAATCAGAAATTAACACATCAGTGCAAAGAAATGAGAGAAAGTACCGTACGAAAACGCATTCGAAGCCGTTCGAGATGTTTGCCGTTTGCATTAAGGTTCGTCGGTTTTGCAGCCCATAACGGCACTACTGGAACCAGTCAGAACCATTACAAAACCGGAGATCTAAATTTGGTTCAGCTCATTTGTCTGCTATTCGTGCGTTCGCTGATTTTATTCAAACTGGGTGCATCCAAGTGTGCGCAATATTTTTGCAAAACATGGTAAGTGAACTGTTTAACTCTTAATTGCCCGAACATTCTCCTCTCAAACATCGTTATTTTTTACACATTTGATGGGTTTCTGTTACGCTCCTTCGTTCTTCAACGATTAGACAATAGACAGCAGAATAGATGAAGAGCTGTTTGATGATTATATTCTGTGTTAATTAAGATAATGCTGCATTCTAGGTCGGACTAATTGGTTCCAAGAAATCCCTCACGCTTCTACTTCTGCTCTTTTTGGCCTATTGTGATGCGAAGGCGATTGACGCGCTTAAGGATGACCCAAGTACGACTCCTTGTCCAGAAGAACTGAATGAAGCGACCACAACAGTGCAAGCAACAGAAGAAGAAACCGAAAGGTCAACAGCTCAGGAGGTCACCACTTTGTGTCCGGAGGAATTGGAAAAAAGGCGACAAAATGAGTTGATTAGCAACAACGATAAATTGGCAGAAAAAGTCACTGAAAAGTTACCGGAAGACGCTGAAATTAAATACGACAGCTCTAAAGGTAACTTTTAAAAATTGAAAAGGAGCAAGGAGGTTTTTGAGTTCCTTCATTCTTAATCATTAGCTTTGGGACACTCAAACTGCACGACTTTTTTCAAAACTCTCTTTAATTTCAACATAACTTTCAGAAATTGCTGAAGATGTTACCACTGAATGTCCCGAAGAACTTGAAAAACGACGATTTGAAGCCAATTCGTCCAGTTCAAAGCAGGATTCCTCAATAGCTTCAGAGAATAGTGAACAAAATGACGAAGAGCAACGATATGAAGTAGATTCCAGTGCAAACGAATCTGGTGTTGAAGTTGCTGAAACCACGATTTGCCCAGAGGAGGCAGCTGAAAGGCAAACCAAGGACAAACCGGTTGAAGAACCGGATAGAGAAGCAGATGAAGAAGGATCGACATCCATAACAGAATGCCCAGAAGAACTGGCCAAAAAGGAAGCTGAAAAGGAGGAAGAAATTTCTGCACCTTCAGAAGTGGCCACCACTACTGAATGTCCAGAGGAGCTGGCTAAAAGGCAACAACAAGAGAAGTCGCCGACTCTCATTGATCAGCTTCCGCAAGAACATAAATTGCATCGATTCTCCAGTTCAGACTTAGCTGATATCCAAACCAAAGAAATCTCCGTTAAAACTCTACTGGGTGTCCAAAAAGACTCAGCTTTGCTGAAGGTGGTTAAAGAGCAAATGAAGAACACGCTAGCAAATCAAGAAGAAACTATGCATCGAACCAAAAGACAAACAGCTGCAGATTACTCGCAATATTATGCAAACCAACCAAGATACGACTCGCAGGGACAAACAGCAAACTTGAAAGAATCCTCTCAAAACTTCCAACCTTCTCAATCGCAATCCAACACTCAGAAAGCCTCGTATAATAATGTGCGTACTTATCAGCAAATACAACGGCAGTATCAGAACTACGTACCGAAATCCTATCAAAACAGTGTTAAGCCAGTAACGAGTTATCAGAATCCCAGCTTGTATGTGAGACATCCGAGTAACGGGAATTTTAAAAACTACTACAAAGTGAAAAGTGGCGCAAATCGACGACAATTCCAAGCAAATAGGCGACCCAGCAGCACCACTTTTAGGTCGACAACGAAAAGGGAGCTGAAGAAAAAATTCAGGCCTTCGCCGGTCTTTGCTTAAATTGGCATCCTTAAGGTTTAGTTATTTATTATGCGTTATTGTGGGCATTATTTATTACACAAATGGGGATTATCTGTTGTATGGGGAATACTGATTAAAAGGATTTTATTAGATGTAAAAGTGTGGTCTTTTATGATTTTTGTCTGAAATTTTAGGATAAATTTCAGCACGATTTCTTAACAGAAGTTGCTCTCACTGAATCGGGTGTCTAATTCTCTTTCGATTGGTAGAACAACAAGCTCTGCAGCTCAAAGGATTTCAGAGACACAAAAGACAGAAAAAAAAACTCGAAAAACTAACACTTTTTTGCTCATTTCTTGGAGGCAAAATGAGCAAGAACGCTCATTTCTACCTCATTCTAGACAGAAATAAATGGCCTTTTTAGAAAGTGAACCATGGATGTGGAAATGTTGCAGTTTTCTCAAAAAATGCTTGAATTCAAGAAGTTTTCGATTTGCGTGTTTTTTTTTGAGTTGCAAAATCCACTTGAACATGACGCTTTTTTCGAAGTTTCTCAAGAACCATTAGAGCCACAGAATTCGTTTTGGCATCGTTG